GCCGGACACGAAAAAAGACAAAAAAAAAAAAAAATAGAGCCTTGAGGAAGAAGATGTGCCAGCAGTAGAAACTAAAAATGTGTGGTTGCAAAGATCAAACAGTATATGTCTGTGGTTATATAAATTTCTGTACATCAGTAGAGAAGTTAGGTCAATTTCTAGTAACGTTCAATAAAGTATAAATGTAATAAGATGGAATTTTTCATTTGTCCAGGGCTAGAAGAAGTAGTTTAACTTTACTCAGTAAAATACATAAGGGTAATTCAAAAGTTTCATGGAAAGATTTGCATTATCTTTCAATTCTATTTTTCTACAAACTTTTGAAGTACTCTTGTGAATGTTATATTGACTATTTAGATGTGTTTTAACTATTAAAACAGTAATACATAAAATGCCAGAAAAGAAAACCTTTGATGCACAACAGTACACAGACAGTCCCTAACTTGCGATGGTTCAACTTATGATTTTTCAACTTTACAATAGTGCAAAAGCAATAGTCATTCAGCAGAAACTGTGCTTTGAGTATCCATACAACCATTCTGGTTTTCACTTCCAGTATGGTGTTCAATAAATTACATGAGATATTCAATACCTTATTATAACAAAGGTTTTGTGTTAGATGATTTTGCCCAACCATGGGCTAATGGAAGCGCTCTGAGCACATTTAAGTTACACTAGGTTAAGCTGTGATGTTTGGTAGGTTACGTAGTATTATATGCATTTTCAATTAATGATTTTTTCAAGTTAGATGAGACATAACTCCATCATAAGTTGAAAGCATCTGCATAATGAAAAGTTCTTCACTGCCCTTTGAAAGGGAATCAGTATAACTAAGTTTCTTACATAATCTCCCCAAAATAATCTATGCATATGTGTACTTATTTATTTATGTATACATTATCTCCCTTTTTTGTACAAATGACAGCATACTCTATGTGCAGTTCTTTATCATACTTTTTTCACTTAACAGTATATTTTAATTATGATTTCATATTAGCAAATATGGGACTTTAATCTTGTTTATAGTCACATAATGATAAATGTTATGCATATGTTAGACAAAACAAATTTATTAACAATTTATTTATTTATTTTTAATTTTTATTGAATCATAATTAATTATATATATTTTGGGGGTTCAACATTGATATATGTTGATTAAATCAATATTACTAGCATATGTATTGTTACAAATCATACTTATTCTTTATGCCCCTTGTCCAATCTCTCCCTATCTCCCTCTACCTCTCCACTCTGATAATGCCTAGATGATCTGTTCAATGCTGAGAGGTATATTCGGGTCCCCCAATATTATCATAGTGCAGATGCTTCTTCTGTCACTTTGGAATGGGCTTTGTAGAGAGAGACATCCTCTTCTTTTCTTTGGTCTCTGCTGTGACTCTCCTTGTGTCAATGCACTGCAGTGGCTGGCGGACCATCAGAGTGATGGTTGTGTTGTCTAGCCACTTTTGTGGCAACTGTGGTTATTGTGGTGGCTGTGGTGGGCCACCCACATGGAGGTGATGTTTCTGGCATGTTTCTTGGTGCTGGCAGTATGCCTGGTTGTGGGAGGGGGATCTGGTCCATGGCTCTATGCCTCAGGTCCCTGGGCAGGCCCCAAGGCACTGGTGGTGTATCTGGTTGTGGGAACGGGTCCGGTCCATGGCTCCATACCTCAGGTCCCCAGGTGGGCCCTGAGGCACTGGCAGTGTGCCTGGGCCAGAACTAATTTTTTGTCTTTTGCTTACTTCTAAAATGGAGGAACTTCCTGTGGGGACCAGTACTTGAGCTGTGTGGTTTAGCTAAATTGCTCCTTTGCTGCTGTTTCCGTAGGGAAGGCTTTTTGTGCAGTTCAGGTTTTAATGGTTGACCTTATAGGTACTTCTGGTTCTCCAGAGAGCTGGGTAGAAACTCTGATCTGGGAATCTTTTCATCAGACTGTACCCCATGCAATTCTATCTTCCTGACCAGTCTCCTCTGAGTGGTCCTTCACTGATTGGGATGCCAGTCAGCTGTCCTTGCTGTGCCCTAGTGTTCCCAAGTGGGTGGTCTCCCCCACTGCCCATGCTGCAAACACTTCCCATGGGATGGGTCATGCAGCAGTCCTTTGTGATGACTCACCAGCCTCTGAGTGGCTCCTTTTTTCAGTTGTTGTGGCTTCTCACTCCTGTGTGGATCCATGGAAACCCTATTAGTGGTCTTGCTGTCCTGGGGGCCACCAAAGCCTTCTTCTCCCCTGCCGCCTCCAAGCAACTTCACCCGAAGGGCACAGCTGCGGCTTTTGCTGGCTCCTGCTCTGTGTGCTCAGCAGCTCCAGCCTTAAAGCAGCTGCAGCACAAAATGGTTGGAGCAGTTTTTCCTTCTCTCATCATGGCTTCTCCCACCTTCATGCACTCCATAGGTCTCTCCCCTTCTTCCCCTGAGCTCTAGCGGCCCCAGCTTGGCTGTTGTTGCTTTTTTATAGTTGTAAATTGGTTGATTTGTGGGAGAGAGTGAAGCTGGGGACTCTATTCTACCATCTTGACCAGAACCAAATTTATTAACAACTTTAAATATTGCTGAATCATTTATGACATCTGAAAGTTCAACATTTTTATCAAGCACAAATTAAAGCACTTTAATGTTCTTTTCTCAGGGGTCATTGCCCAGAGTAATTAACAGACTATAATCACAATTTGTCAGTTTCACATCTAGATTTAACTGTATCCAGTCCTCTCCATACTCCATAAATAATGCATTTCTCCTCAAAGAAGTAGTAATTATAATAGAGCTTTTTATCCTATTGGGGGCTAAGAGTAAAAAACTGAGCCCATTCAGAAATAAACAAATCTAATAAAAGAAGTAATGTAGTTGTCATCTATTGAGCACCTACTATGTGTCAGGCTTTGCATTAAACATCTTAACATATGTTGTTTCACCTAATCTTCATAGTCTAAGGTAATTATTATTGTACCATTTCAATGGTTAAAGAAATTGATGATCAAAGGAGTTAACTAATCTGCCCAATATCAAACTTTTAATAAATAATAGACAGAATTGGAACTGATTCCTAAGGAAATCTTTTCATGCACTGGTCAGTACAGTACTCAAGGTACTCTACAAAGGTGAAACTTCTGCTGCCTGTTTGTGTTATTTGTAAAAGAACAACAATAATGTAAAACAGATATTATTACCTAAAGAGATAATTTATATATTTATGACTTTAGTTCATTCATGCCAATGTCACAGCTCTTTTATTTTTGTAGCAATTTTGCTACGAAGTAGTGATTTTCCTAAGGAAAAAAGACAAAGAGGAAATAGCTAGTCATGTGGAACCCTACTATTCTACAAACCGAAAAACAAAACAAAATGAAAATCTCAGAAGTATTGAAACAATTTTGAAAAACTTAAAACAATTCTAAGAGATAAGGGAAAGGGGGGAAAGTCTCAGTTTGAGAACAATTTGAGTAGAAAACAGTATGCAGACTACATACTGTCACATAGATATATACCCAAGCACCATGTATGCCCACTCCTTCTCAGGTTTTTGTTTATGTGTTTGCTTTTTAGTTTTTCTCTCAAATGTATGTGAGTTATAAACATAAACATGATAAGGCCTGTAGCTTTTCAGAACTGGAAGGACTATGAAGGCTGTCTATTCCAATATTTCAGTTTTCCATCCAAGACTTGAATCCTCTGAACAAAATTCCTGCCAAGTCATTGTTGAGTTTAAGATTAAATGCCTTTCAAACTAGCCAGTAGAAACCGTTGGTATAATAAAAATAATACGGAATTTAGCGTCAGAAGGCCTGGGTTAAATTTTCAGCTCTAACACTTACTGGTTGGGTAACCTTGTGCTAATCTCTTAACCTATTTGCCTTGTGTGCCATGTATACTCCTAGGCACATAGTAGGCAATCTACAAATATGTGTTAAATCACATTGATTTGAAAGTAAACTTTTTAGAATAAGCAGTGTTACTCTCATAGGGAGGTTGTATTAGTCTGTTTTTGTGTTGCTATAATAGAATACATGAAATTGTGTAATTTATAAAGAAAATAGGTTTATTTGGCTCATGATTCTGGGACCGCTGCATCTGGTGTAGGCCTCAGGCTGCTTCTACTCATAGCAGAAAATGGCAGGGCAGCCAGTGGGTGCAAGATCATATGGCAAGAGGAAGCAAGAGAGGGAGAGAGAGAGGAGGTGCCAAGCTCCTTTTAACAACCGGATGGTGGGAACTAATAGAGCAAGAACTCACAACCCCCACCCCCCGCCCCGCCCGGGCATTAATCAATTCATGAGGGATCTACCCCTATAACCCAAACAGCTCCCAACATTGCCAAGTTGGCGGTCAGATTTTGATATGAGCA